ATAGCTAGTATATATATATATATATGTATGTTCTTATGCTCTTCTCTCTTCATTTCTTCTTGAATGAAATTTATGTTGATGCCCCTACATATATAAGCCTTGCTACTTGCCATGTGAATGGCATTTAGTGTTTTACGTGGTTCCTAGCTAGCCCTTCTGCTATCTTCTGGTGACAACACGCTCCCTGTTGAAATTGTTAAAATTCCAAAAACAATTTCCCTCGCCCGTTCAGTTGGCAGGGAGGCACCGTTAAGCTCTAGGAGGGTATAAAGAATGAGGTGTATTACCCTGGATATGGAAGATCGTGGCTACTCCAGGTTAGAAGTGTTAGAAAATATTACGAAAAGAGGCCTGTGTTAGTATTATAAGGTGTGATTCTACTCGATTAGCTTCAAGAGCTTCAATGAAAATGCCACGTTAGCAATAACTAGATTCGATTGTATCGTTGACTGGCGAGGTTAAGCTAACTCGAGTTAAGGCCCCGTGTAGACGCTTAACTCGAGTTAAGGTTCGTCGTGTAGACGTAGCTTAAAAGATTAGAAGACCCTGACGAGATTGCCTGCACGTATACGTGCGTTCGTGCGTGCGTGTGCACATACACGTGCGTGCATGCGTGAGTGCGTACACGTGCGTGCGTGCATGTGCACGTACACGTGCGCGCGTGTGCAGGTACACGTGCGTGTGCACGTACACGTGCGTGCATGCGTCCGTGTGTGTGCACGTACACGTGCGTGCGTGTGCAGGTACACGTGCGTGCGTGTGCATGTACACGTGCGTGCGCGTGCATGAGTGTGTGCGTGCGTGCGCGCGTGTCCAGGTACACGTGCGTGCGCGCGTGTGCATGTGCACGTAGGCGTGCGTGCGCACGTACACGTGCGTGCATGAGCGTGTGCGTGCGTGTGTACGTACATCGTACTAGTGCTGCCGCCTATCGTGGAGGTTAAGCTAACTCGAGTTAAGCGTCTACACGGGCCCACGCACGTGTACGTGCACACGCACGCACGCACGAACGCACGTGTACGTACACACGTACGCACGCACGCACGCACGCACGTATACGTGCACACGCACGCACACGCACGCACGTTTACATACACACGCACGCACGCATGCATAATAAATCGGTAATAATCGCTATCGGGTGTTGTCGTGTAGACGCTACATAATCGCTAACTCGAGTTAACGCTTAACTCGAGTTAGCTTAACTCGAGTTAACGCTTAACTCGAGTTAGCTTAACTCGAGTTAAGGTTCGTCGTGTAGACGAGGCTATAAAAACCCACCCAGGATATTTTAATCTTTAAACGAATCACCCGAGTGATGCGTTCTTGGAAGATGGTATAACTTGCTGAATCTGCTACAGTGACAACCGAACAACGACCTTCTCTATTTATGAACGTATGACAGATGAGCTTGGCCATGTTACAATGCACTACTCCTAACAACTCCTCTTTACTCGTCTCGGTCGTGAGATGGCGGGTTGAGGCTCGCACCAGACGAAAGGACAGAGGGCGCCACTCACATCAGTACGTCGCTCCGACGAGAGGAAGTGCAATGCGACGTGCGCGGGCAGAATGTTTTCCAGCAGGATCTTGTTAACATCTCCAGTTATCTCCACTTCTTCGCGCTCCGACCGGAACTTCGACTTCCACAAGAAGTCCAACCGCGATGTGTACTCTCCCTGCATTTGTATATTATTGACATGAGGATCCAAAGGGCAATATGTTCAGACATTGTGAAGTTGGTCGCTTTATCAACCTCTGCTGCAGTAGTAACTCGACTAAACAGACGGAATCTATGCATCGCTGTAAACCGTTACTTGTAAATCGTCATATTACATATGTTATATTATTGCATTTAGCTGCTATACTCTATGCTCTCTAGCTTGTTCCAGAGAATCACCCCTCACTCCTAGAGACCTACCTGTCTATCACGTACATACTGTTAACGCATACTATTACGCGTTTATTGTTTTAATAACGCATACTGCAACTGACCTTCCTCTCTATCACGTACATACTGTTATCGCATACTGTTACGCGTTTATTGTTTTAGTAAATAATAATAATTGCCTAGGAGACCGAAACGGGCATTACACAGAATATATATATATATATATATATATATATTGATAGACTCCTGAACTAACCTACCTGTCTATATATCACGTACATACTGTTAACGCATACTATTACGCTTTTATTGTTTTAATAACGCATACTGCAACTGACCTTCCTGTCTATCACGTGAAGGGTAAGAAGAAACAGCGCCAGGTAGAGAGAACTTTGTATAGGCAAATTCATGATGAGCAGCGCTCGCCTGTAATGTAGAAGAGTTTTCCAGCTTTCTTTCTACATCAGTCGTTGTGCTTACGTACCGTAGAAGTATGGATCAAAAACAGATTCGTTACGGGTCATCGTGCACGAAAAACTCGAAACAAAGTCATGTGATAGCGTAACATCTATTACACGTAAATGTAATGGTAACTTGAGCCAATACAAAATTATTTCTATAGAACATCACTAAACTACTATGTATAGACTGCATGATTGGGGCACTGTAAAGGCAATCACCAATCATTCAAGCACGACATCAGCTGAAGCATAATGTAGGAAGCATCGAATAGTCATGTTCAAGGCCGTGGTAAATAATCAATACAGTAAAGACGTGAGCCGGCGGGAGATATGCAGATTACTCTACTTTATTATCAGTAATTACGATTTATGATCATAGTAATTATACAATAAATTTCTATAAGTGGAGTATAATAGGAATTGTTATTACCCATAGAGGGCGTTGGCGTAGGCATGTTTGGCAGACAAGACGACTTACGTGAATACTGTTCCCTCAGGCTCATTTACAAACAGGTCGTACTCCAGCACCAGGAAGGTGACGTTGTACACGACAAAGATGACCACCATGACAACCAACTTTAGCAGAAAATTGATCTGCAGAAACACTGAGCAGGCCATGAGAGCCAGCATGCAGCAGTACACGTAATACTGAAACAAAGCAGCACAACCTGGCTATAATATGTTCTAATAATGTACACATAAAGAAAACTATTTATAACAAAAGACGTGTTTAATACAAAGTGATCATGTGCACGAAAGAGCAATTAACAGAAAGCACGAAAGCGAGATGAGGGAAGAGTGCGAGAGGGCAATAGTGAACGAATAAGGGCGCGGGAGAGAAAGAGAGAGAGAGAGAGAGAGAGAGAGAGAGAGAGAGAGAGAGAGAGAGAGAGAGAGAGAGAGAGAGACGGCAAGGAGGGCAAATGGAGGGAAAGAAAGAGACATTGAAAAAATGTGCGAACGACGGTAGAGAAAGTAAGTGAGTGAGTGGAAGAGAATAAGATAAATAGATCGAATGATTGATTGATCAAGATATATTTAGAGCGAGAGAGAGAGAGAGAGAGAGAGAGAGAGAGAAGAGAGAGAGAGAGAGAGAGAGAGAGAGAGATGGAAAGAAAGATAGCGAGAGAGAAAGAGAGGGGAGGTGAGGAAGACGACAAATAAGACGTTACAAGTGTTTGCACACTTACTGGTAAAAAATAACAGTCTTGGTCGATGCAAACATTCGTGGTAGCAGCTACTGATGCAGCGGGGCTGTCATTGTACGTGACGACAGCTTCTAGTGTTGCCGGCTGCGCTGTGAAGCCGTCAGCAGAAACTATACCGTAACTACTGTCGTTGTAAAGCAACGATCCGGCAACGGGAGTGTCTTGTTCACAATCAACCTATTGCCAGAATAAATCCCCGCTACAGAGATACCGCCGTGAATACGCGTGTAAAATATTTTTAGTGCGCTAAACTGTTGTAAATCTTAATATATATACTGCTGCCTTGAATATTCTAGCTTCGTATATGCTTTATGACCAATTAAATTTACGGAAAGTCTATAAAGAAAACATGTTAGTTGCTATAATGTTTCATTATATTAATTTATATTACTATACATATCAGACACGCATAACTACACTAGACTATATCGTGGAGCAAATATAAGCTATATGGATAACAAGGCAATATATATTCACACGTATACTGTTTTTACAATTGTCATTATTATTATTATTGTCACTGCAGTGCACATGCGCCCAATCATCATACATGTGTGAACGCGCTATGAACGACTTGCAGGGATATTACTTTTCGAGCGTAACTTACGACTGTGAGGATGGCTGCAGCTGCTATAACAGCCATCGTGACTATGGCTATAAAAAGACGGAGCCACGGACTAGCTGTGACGACATTTGATATCGAAGACAGTGCTGATTGACTATGAGATTTAATGTTCTGCAATAAACAAGAGGGGTACTGTTGTTGTAATTAACAGCTCGACAAATTGTTATCGACAACTCAATGTGCATGTGAATATACAGTCGAATATCAGAATACAGATGTATAAAATTCGAACGAATGGGAAATGGGAACAAACGGATGCTAATAAAAATGCCCCTAAAAGATGGGTAGCGGTCATTGACGCCAAGCAGAGGCTGCCAGTTTCGGCGCAATATATTACCATTTCCCGATCGTCATTATATTAGGAAATTCTAAATTTTTGCGTCTGGTATTTCTACTCTTAAATATTTTAACCAATAAACGCAAAAGAATATGAAATAAATCAACGTAATTTCATTTTCATTATTATGCATTTATATTTAATGCATTAAAACAATACAAGAAATCGGAAAATTTCGCAAATCCAAAAGACTTGCTCTCAAGCCTTTCGGATTGCTTAACATTCCTGAAGGCTTTTAGTCTAATGTGAAAATACAGCATGGAGTCAATATGGTTTAGATATCCTGCTGCATACTAGTGATAAATCACGAAACTTCACTAAGAAAATAATAGTTATAGTAGTTCAGCTGTTTACGCCTGGTGCTGAGCCACCATAGGGGTAGAGGAAGCCCACCAAGGACGCTATACGCGCCTTACAACATAAATAACGTCGTCTCTGGGGACCACATTCGTGCCAAAATCTTACAACGTATATAAAAGCCAACGTTTATCAATATATTATGACGTCTAGCTGATACCAGTAAAAACATTCGATGCCGACAAACGGTTGCTATATTGCAGCAGGTAATACTCACGGCGAAGGTATCCGCCCACGACACGAACAGCACAACTCCGAACAAGAACAGAACGCCACCGTATGATATATACATCGCCAGGCTCCTAGAATGGGGGAAAACAGACGAAAGTCAATTCGGTAAATTACGACAAAATAAAGGCAATTTTAGATAAAGGCGCACTACTTCGTGCGCAAATTTAGTGCTAGTAAAAGTGGCATAAGCGAAAATGTAATCTGCGATAAAACGATAAAAGCGAAACACTGCGCGCAAGCGCATTAAAAAGCTTACTACGCCTTTAAAAGGCGTCACTGCGAAACCAACTGACTTGGGCATGAAGAAGAGCTGTATGATGAACACGGCGAGAAAGATCATGGCATCACAGGCGACGTAGTACTTGAAGAGCGGATCAGGTTGCCGGTGATACTGTGACTCCATGCCCGGATTCAGGAAGTATAGCAGTAGAGGATGAACATCTTCGGCCGTAAACCACTGCCTGTGTGAGTGCAGCAGAACAACACATATAGCAGGGCGTTACGGTAGCTCTTCAACCAAATGTTGATCATGTAGGCGTCTGAATATTAAGCTATCTAAATAATCACAGCTGAATAAAACTGTGATTATAATCATACAGCATAATAATAATAATAATAATAATAATAATAATATTGCATAGAAATTTTAACAGGTATAAGTGACCATACCAAGCGCCATTAAAACGACCCGACACTTGTGCGCTTTGCCTTTGTGCGCGTTGTCAATGGCGTCAGCGACATCTTACAACAAATCAAACAACTTGACAAATTGTCAAGGGCCTTTTACTGGGTTGCGGACACTCGTATTGAATCGTTCTCTATGTATGCACACACATACACGCACATACGCAAGGCCATATCTGTACGCACGCACGCAGAAACTAACACAAACATATGCGCGCACACTCTCTCTTGTGCACACGCACACACGCGAGCGCGTGCGCATACACGCATACACTCACGCACGCATATACACACGCACACAAGCCCGCACAGATATATATACTCGATGATCATTGCGAGAGCGTGGCGCTTGTGTCTGTATGCGGACTCGTTGTAACAACGACGTAAGACTTACTTGTCATCAAGCTTCGCCTCTAGCTCGGCATTCACCAAGTCCCGCTCGTACGCCAGCTGTGCACTAGCAGTGCAAATAACAAAAACATGCAATAACAGTGCGGGAGGTTTGTGCGGGAGGTGCGGGAGGTTGTGCGGAGGTACACTGAAACAAACGCACGCATGCATACATGCACGCATCACACACCCAGGCATCATATATGCCCACGCGCGCGAGCCATTGAGTGGACGTTAACATTCATGTTTAATACGCAGTGCACGTAATTAATATTTCATACTTGTCAGTCAATAAAGTTGACATGCATGGCCGAGCTCAAATCTAACATTTCATAGCCATATTTGGCTTTTGGTTATATAAACTCTGTCGTCTCTCTGTCGTACACATAAACCACAGTGCGCGCGTCTGTCTGTCTTTCTCTCTCCCTCTTCCCCTTCTCTCTCTCTTTCTGTGTGTGTGTGTGTGTGTGTGCGTGCGTGCGTGTGTGTTTGCGTGCGTGCGTGCGTGCGTGCGTGCGTGCGTTCATGCGTACGTGCGTTCATGCGTACGTGCATCGCACGTTATACCTGTGTGTTTGCTCATGTTTGTATACTGTATCTTAGCGTGGGTGCTTTTATATTCGCGCACGTGGGCGTGTGTATAGGTGTGTGCTTGAGCGCGTGTGCGCATATCTATTGGAGTATTGCAGCACGCGCGTATGTGCGTCTGCAGGACGTCTGTGAACATGAAAGAAAGACGTTGGAAATCAAAATGTCACATTAGATCAAAATGCATTTGGCCGATGACTATAGGCTACGTTACACGAGACGTTATTGCTATGTAGATGGGCGAGCTCACGGCAGGGGAAGACTACGACGTGTAAAATTTGCCGTGGAGAAACCATGCTGTGCAAATGCTGCTAATGCATGCGCACAGTTAGCTCCATTAGCGATCCACATCAAGGAAATCTATGAGCATGCGCAGCCAGGCTAACCGTGCTATAATGAAGAATTAGACAATACGTGCATGTGCACGTCATCACGTCAGTATGCACAACTTGCAAATCGCTAAAGTACGCAACGTCACTTACTTGATATTCCAGCAGGTGTTTCTTCGGGACCGTATGAGATTTGATTCAAGCAGGGCCATGCTCTGTAAAATATCAATGATATTAGGCGTGTGCGCGTACTGTGTGCGCGTGTGTGTGCGTTCACGCGTAGGTGCGTGCCTGCCTGCATCGTTGTGTGTGTGCGTGCGCGTGTGTGTGTATTTGTGTGCGTGTGTGCATGCTATAACGAAGGAATCGGTTGCATAAACAAAACCTCAATGATAAACAATAAATAAAGCCGGTACAAACTAGGATGCCTATCAGAAGTATGTTATTGCTGTGAAATTTCAGTAATAGTGCCATTATTCAGTTATCCAGCGCAATATATTGATCCTGTGTTTTCTCTTGATGTTTCAATGGTCAGCAATGAATGTACTCTCACAGCGCGAATACACCCTGTCCACTAAACATGAAAATTGAACTTTGAATGCTCATTGAATCTTGTAAATAACTGGCACAGTCACAGTCAGCAGTACGAGAGCTATATATACAACTAGAGCACTCGGAGAGCACAGACCTCCGCCAAGGCAGCTGAATTCTCTCAATGTGAAATTTTTTATTAATTAATTAATTAATTAAGTAGAAAAATTAATTAATTAATTAATTAAATAATTAATTGGTTCCGGATTAGTGCGAGCGTGCAGGTGGGGGAGGACTGTGGTTGCCCCTTAGCCTGTGGTTGCGTGTTTGTAAGTCTACAGCCAGCGCACCTAGCGGAAGTGAACTGAAACTTGCATGTTAACAAACCCCCAAACCAACACTCAAACACACGCCGGTGAAAACATAACCTCCGCCAAGCCCCTGGCGGAGGTAACTACTATCCGACTCACGGTAAGCTGTGCATTCTTGCCAGCAACTCCTTCCGCAATGTTAGCAAACGGTTTGTCGGCGCCCCAGGACTCTAGGTACTTGGCAACTCTCATTGATCCACGGCCGCTATCCTGTACGCTAATATCCTTCTGCTTCTGCTCATTGTCTTCCTGGTAAGCAAACAGCCACGGGCGTTGGTTTACATACTATAATCGAATCCATGTATACAGTGGCGTTGTGTGTGTGTTGGGGGGGGGGAATGATTTCTCTGTTACTTCCAGCCACAAAGTTTACGAAGAATGTGTGCACGCAGCGCACACCGCGAGCGCCTTGCAGCGAAGTCCTTAACGGGTGGAGTCGAGGGGACCGCCTTAGGCCACTGGCGGGGTGCAGGGGCATAGCCCTTGCCCGGGGTCCAGGGGGCGGAGCCCCCAGAAGCTCTTGGATTTTAGCAATTTGGAATCTTCAAGATGGCCGTTTTTGAGGGAATTGAAAAAAATTGAAACTGTAGGCCTAAGTGCAATATTTGTGAATTCTAGTGGTATTTTTTTATTTGGCTCCCAGAGTGTTTAATAACACGTACGCAAACCCCTCGCACGACTACAGCACTGGAATCTCCCCCTGAAATTTTGATAAAACCTATATTTTACTGAGAACGCTGAAACTGAACAAACAAAAATATAAGAAAAACAACCAGATTTGAACCAAAAAGTACATATTTCGCCCTTTATAAAAAATCGGGAATATAGGCCTACTTCCGGTCGGGTCTCAGCACCCCCCCCCCAAAGAAAGTGTGATGAGATTGAATTTTCCGCATTCAATCCCCGTGAAAATTCAATATCCCAACTCAATAGGTCTATTCTAATTTTGAATAAAGCAGGAATTTAACTTTCGTGAGCAGTGATAAAACGTGATTTGGGAATTAAAAAAAAAAAAAAAACTCTTGTCCTCCAAAATTAACTCTTGTCTCCAAAATTAACTCTTGTCCTCCTGAAAGTAGGGAGGAATGATTGTACACGCCACCTCAATAAGTGGGGGGATATATCCCCCCATCCCCCCGCTGTCTGCGCCCCTGCATGTAGAGCAACTGCACTAGGGCAATATTTTCACGTTACGTTACGTGCCTATGTATGCGCCATGGCGATATACCAAATTACGCGTCTGCAAATATACCTTAATTGGTAGTATATTCTAATCCACGTTAATGTATAATATATCCACAGTAGAACCCAGCCATATGAATCATTGCAAGAGTACATAATTGGAGACAACAGAACACTAATCCAATAATAAACTTTGGTCGCTAAAATGCAAAAGTTTGGGAAAACTGTGTGAGACCGTGTCGTATTCAAATAAGTTTTTTGAAGAACACATGTGATTTTCAGGTAAACTGGTGGTGTTATATGATTAAGGGAGAATCCGAGACGAAAACAAGGTAAAGTTTATATATATAAGAATATATATATTCACATATTGATAGAATAAATTCAAGTTGAAAACTACGCAAAACGCTGTTAAACAGTGTCATACTCTTCTCCCATTATGTACTCTTGATCATTGTACTAGGCAAACATCGTGGAAGTTAGCATTAGCCTTACCTATGAAGCCTTTCAATCAGCTATAGGTAGAGCGAAGGGCTACATATTATGTAGAGCTATGTGGGTGTATGACCGGATCATAAACCCATAGCAACACTATGGTACTGGTCACGTGTGATTATATTATGGTTACACATCTCTGCTGGTATCACATATGCACTATGTACAGATATATCAATTCAGGAAGCACTTTAGCTTATTATAGTACGGGTAACCGTTGACAGTTTATTTCCGGTACATTGTAATTGCCGAATAGTGCACGCCCTGATAACGTTCTTTCAAACGCCTCTTCTCACCGGTGAGATGATCAAATAGTTATCGATGTTTCGTTCGCGAAGGTAATCGTCAGGTGGGCCTGGGGTCACCTTCCACTTGCCATCAAGTTGCATGTACGTAGATCCCGTGATGTGCACCCTCCTGTAAGTGTAAGCAACACTCCTACTAAGCAAACCCATGCTACGTGTTTTGCTGGCGGGTGTACAGCCGATCATCGCTCACACTAAAAAACATATCGCTACTCGAAGTGTAGACATAAAAATAACGCACTTTTGTTCGAGCCGAGCAATTCCGCGGCTGAGCTGCTTTTTTATGATTGATATCAGGGACTGGTTCGTAAGCTTACGCGACGATAATATAAGTGCACCACCACTTGCGAGCACTTGACAGTAAAATAAAATGCATCAATGTGTTACTAGGGTGCCTATACTCACCCTGGTGTGCCGGAGGACTCCATGTGGTTGGCGGTAGTGACATCATCAGACCAGACGTCGTACTGCCACTTTCGCAGACCGATGACTCCACACAGCACGTCACCGGTATGAACGCCAATCCGCATGTCAACCTCGACCTCAGTAGCCTCCCTGATGTCCCTGAAGCAAACAAGTCGATGGATGGACGGACAGGCATACGTGTGGACAAGCAAACAGACAGATAGACAGACAGACAGGTAGACAGGCAAGCAAGCAGACAGACAGACAGACAGACAGACAGACAGACAGACAGACAGACAGACAGACAGACAGACAGACATGCAGACACACAGACACACAGACATACAGACACACAGACACACATACAGACAGACAGACAGACAGACAGACAGACAGACAGACAGACAGACAGACAGACAGAGAGAGACTAACAGACAGACAGAGGGCCAGTCTACAACCCTAGAACATATTCCTGGTCGAGACGTATCGTGCATACGTGAAATTGCAAAACACGCATGTTTTTTATTGATTCTGTCCATATTCTAATTATAGAGACATCCTCGTTTTGTCTCGTAGCAATAATGCGATACCTAACAACAGAGGTTTGCACAACCTGTGCATGAAAGATGTACGTTTAATTTAATTACAAGATGTGTCTTTATACCCTTCACGCAGATTGACAAGTAGCTTGTTTAAATTCATCATTATTTTGCATGTTTTGCCGTAGGCTTACTAATTAGTTTTCATTTAGTAAACCAATTATGTAAAATAAAAAGTATAGTACAGCTTTGATAAATCATTAGTGTATTATTCTAGCCATCGCACTAGACGCGCGAGTGTCATAAAAGCTGCGGATAGAACAGATTGGCCGTAAATAATTTTTGCACTGGAATTCCGGGCACACTTCTACTGACACAATGGTTGGTCTAGTTAAATGAAAATCCTTCTTGCCCTACCGGATCGCTTCGATCATGTCCAGCCCCATCTTGACGCAGTTTGACGCATGATTCGGTCTGGAAATTGGCAGGCCCGACACACAGTAATAGCAATCCCCGAGAATCTTTATCCGCATGCATTGATTTTCCTGAAATAATTCAGCATTGATTGATATACCCACGCCTGTTTTTGTTCGGCGGTAAATCAACGCCTTCAAATCGAACTTCTATTAGTACCCATATATCAATACTTGACCTAGCTGTACTAGATGTAACTAGGCGAGTAAAAATATTTTCAGACATTCGCGCTTCAAATCGAGCGGTAAGATTCAGATCGATCAGTTAAATTCGTTGCAGTCAAACCGTAAAAATATACGTTATTATCCGTGTTTTCCGTATTCGTATTGCGTCTCATTATCTAACACGAGAGGATTGTACGTTTTAGCGGCGCAATATTAGATCAATCGTCATTTCGTACATTTCGTAGCGAATATATGAAAATACGCTACTACCCATGATTGCGACTAGGGAAACAAAAATCATTTACTATAAAACCCTATTTACGATAGTTGCAATGAACTGAAAGGTTGGCCTACCTGTGCTATCTTATCAAACCTCCCAAAAAGCTCATTCAGTATCTTCACCAAGTCCGCGGGCTGCTCTTTCATGCTTTCTGCCAGCGGTGTGAAGTTAACTATGTCCGCATACAAAATGCTGCAAAATAGCATTGCGTATATTTACCAATTATGTGATTATATACAATTAGCATATCCTTTTTGAGCACCGCCGATTGCTGGATTGATGGATGGATGGATAAATGGATGGATTGACGAATGGATAGATGAATGAACTGATAGTTCAATTGGACGAACGGACAAACTATCTGACGGACGGACACACGCACGGGTGTGCTTTCGACGATTGCTTTAATTTGCTCACGCACAAGTGTAAGGCTTGATGGACCCGGCCATGTTCCCCGTCCACACCCTGTGCTCACCTGACGTTCTTATGCAGCTGCACGTACATGTCGTGGAACATGCTCGTCGGTAGCGACGACTGTCGGCGCGACAGGTCGACGTTTGACGCGTGCATCTTCTGCATGATGGCGCGCTTCACCACGGCCATGATGTATGCCGGTATGACGCTGAGCAGCAGCTGTTCCTGTGAGTAATGAATGAACGCAACACGCGCATACGCACGCTGCATGCACATCCTGCTACTGCTCGCACCCGTAACTGTTTCGCTCCCACGAGTGACATGTCGTGAGGCGAAATACCACAGCGACTCTAATTAAACCAGATACTGCGTCATTACATGATATACCGTGGGAACCCATGCCTTGAATTAAATCTCCAGATACTGTGACATAACACGACATGCGGTGGTTAACCACGGGATAAAGACTCCAGACGCCGCGTCGTTACATGACATTCCGTGAGAAACAATGCAATACAAACTGATGCGGCCATGATGCCGAGGCGAGCCGAGGATTGACACTTTGTGTCCTCCAATCACAGCCTACGCCGCACCTCCCTTTGAAATTTTGATAGGTGGGGACCCATCACAGTACCAAATCGCCGATCTCAAGAACTAAGGCATTCTGCTAGGCTAGAACGGTTTTCTACGATAGAGTTTGGCACAAAAACGAAAATAACACGTCGTTTAGCGCACTGCGCTACGTACTTTTGTTGCATTTTTGCATCTCCGTAATCAGAATAAGCCCCGCCTTCTTCGTTGATGGGCATGAATGGGGCGTCACCGACGTGACCAGTTCCTATACCGACTGTGTTTACTTTTCGTAAATAATGAAATGCCCGGCCGATGCTAGACTGGTACCCGTTTGCCACTTTCACTCCGGCAAGTATCCTTCGCTACACTGACGCTGTTAGTGTAGCGTGTGGAACTGTCGACCGGGTACCAGTCTAGGCCGATGCCAAACTGCATGCAGTGCACCTTCGTACACTCAGGATACTCGTATAATTTCACTCTTGCTTCTATTGTATGATTTCCATAATTTTGCTCTTTTGCCCATGATAATATTTCCCTCATCATGAACCTACATTTTTCAGTTCGGACTCTTATCATATCGTTATAACCCCCTATATCATTAATTAAATCCCCTAGGTATGAATATTTGGTGCATTTTTTAATTACTTGGTTGCCTATTAATATCTCCTTCTCTATCCTTTCTTTGTTGGTGAATTTTACAACTATTGTATTTGTTTTGTTCATATTAAGTTCGAATCTTTTTGATTCAGCTAATCTGGAGCATGACTGAGCGATTTTTGTTACTGTTTTATAATTTCCAATTCCTAGAATATCGTCCATATATAATCATTGTCATCTTCTAAAACTACAGACCATCCGCTGACCGCTGTGGAGACGTGCGCCGGGCCTCGAATTTGGCGCACGTCTCCACTGCGGACAGCGCTTCATACTTGAACATCCCCGCGGAACTGCGCGTCTCATCCGCACGCAGCGCTTAGGATCAACAGCAAAGCTGTGCCACGCAATCTTGTATCATGTCTCTCTGGATTACATGACAGGCAGTGAAACACCATCATGTGCCGTGACATCTAATATTTGTACCATCGAGCCCTGCGACACTGGGATGTTACACTATTCGATGATAGCATATTGGGGCTTTACAGCATGATCCCTGAGACGCCATGCTGTTTTATCGGGATTCCATTAGGTAGTAGTATTCGGTAGTACGTGACCCAGTATTCATTTCTTCGCGATGTTCCCCACTACGATGCCACAACAACCAATACTGTTACACAGCATACCCTGATACAGCGAGCCTCTGTGCCGTCACGTGCGTGTTGACGCACATTGATTACGTAGGAAGGTATAAATACACTAATGAGATTGGAGTCGGCACCTGAGTACCACGCCGACGTGAATTACAATTTGACGGGAAAATGCTTAGGAGTGTAATTTGTAAGTAAAGCCGCCATATCAGGATATCTTAATACATCTAGAAACGTCCAACCTACGCAATGCTTTATGCTCTGTTTGGGTAATTAGTCTCGCCATCGGAATTTGTTTCCGTAATTCCATAGCGTGCATCTTAAAGGAGGAGTGACTTTGTTGGCGTTCGCAATTTGGCATCTTCAGCTTAACCACTGGCAATACTCATAAATGTTTTCGGCATTTAAAAGTCAGGACACAATCTGCTGTAGAAGAGAGGGATTTATTGGTGGTAATTGGTTGAATTATGTCAACAATTGGTGGGTCCTAGAATTTTCCGAGAGATTCGAGCAAGGATAAACCTCCTTTTATCTACGTTTTTGAACGGTTGCGATACCATACATACCTGCAACCGCTGCCTACATAGCAGGTCATGGGCATAAGTGAGTCTAATGTTACATTTATTGTGCCGTGTACATGCCTCATGACATCGCGCGTCAGCGAAAACAAATTTGCTTTGAGTGGAAACGCGAATATTTAATTTAGTTTTTTCCCGATTTATAAGAAGTGCATGTGATTTAATTAGGCCGCCTGCATCGAGTCAGTGAACATCGTGTGTATGTGTTAGCCGCTTCTACTGAGGCAATGTAATTGCATAATTATAAATGCACTTCGCATGTATTAGTGATGTCTCAGGATTATGATTTGTTAACTTTTCTCTTGTATGAAAAAATAACATGACGGCCGGGGACACGTGCTAATACATCTGCATGAAAATACACACGCATGTCCACTCATATACAGTGAGCCTCATATTGTAAATGGTGGTCACAACCTACATCGTGGACCTATTCCCAGTTCCTCCCCCAAATGTGCTTACAATTACGCGCCATTATATTTGAGTAAATTGGCCTTTTAGTTGGGCACGATCTCCTAATGGAGGAAGACACTATTGGGCATGTTGCCATCGCTTTGCATACAAAGCAGACTACTCTCCGCGACTCGCATGTTAGTTACTTTATGGGAACAGGCACGCTCCTAATTTATTTGATTTTATTCAATTTGGATCTGCTAGTTGAAAAGATAAAAGTTCTATTGCTATGACGCAATTGAATATTACAAATGTTGTATACTTAAACTGGAGAATTCTGCATATTAATTTGATAAAAAAAAATAGCAGCGTCAGATTTCAATTGGAGGTTGTCTGTGCAATTTCGATGCACATTAGTGTCAGCCGCAATGAATCTTATTGTTAATGTCAATTTCAACTGCAATATTCTTTTTAATGTCAGTGATAATGAAAATGTAACTGAGTTTGTATACCAAATTCAAGTGCCAAAATTTCAATGTGAACGCAAATCCGAACGTAATCGTAACGGTAATAATAAACTTGAACGCAAGCGTAAGCGTAAATGCAAACCACATACCTGCTGCTCCTTCTCGTATTCCAGCTTCATTCTAGACTCGATGCAGTTACGTGTGTCGAGGAACGTGTGCCGGTGAGCGATGTCCGTCATCCACTTGTGATAGAGACCAGCCAGATTCATGCAGAGGAATATCACTCCGTTTGCAACCAACTGTGTCATGTGAAGGGCATGAAGCTAGTGAATCGCAATAGCAGCTTGACTACTGATACAAAGTAGGGAGTCATGCATGGAATGGCGAAGTATTATTGGGTATGATTTGGGTGGATGGATGGATGGATGGATGGATGGATGGATGGATGGATGGATGGATGGATGGATGGATGGATGGATGGATGGATGGATGGTCCATGGATGGATGGATGGATGGATGGATGGATGGATGGCGATGGATGCGAATTCGATGGTATGGATGGTATGGATGGATGGATGAATGGATGCATGGATGGATGGATGGGATGCGGTATGGATGGCATGGGATGGATGGCATATGGATGATGGATGGATGGATGGCATGGATGGATGGTATGGCATGCGGATGGATGATGGATGGATGGAGGGATGGATGGTCTATGATGGATGGATGGATGGATGGATGGACTGGATGATGGATGGATGGCCATGCCATCGGATGGATGGATGGATGCATGGCCATGGATGGCTATGGATGCCATGGATGGATGGGATGGATGGATGGATGGTGGATGGGTATGGATGGATGGCCGAGGATGGATAGGACTGGATGGCATGGACATGGAATGGCGTATGGCATGGATGGGATGGGATGGAATGGGATGGATCGGCATGGATGGATGGCAATGGATGGATGGCATGGCTATGGATGGATGGATGATGGATGGATGGATGGATGATGGATGGCTATGGGATGTATTGGATGGATGGGCCATGGATGGATTTGGAGTGGAATGGATGGATGGATGGATGGATGGATGGATAGATGGATGGATGAGTAATGGATGGATGGATGGCATGGATGGATGGATGGAGGCGATGGATGGATGGATGGATGGATGGATGGATGGATCGGATGGATGGATGGGGATGGATGGATGATGGCATGGATGGATGGATGTGATGAGATCGGATGGAGGATGGATGGATGGATGGAGGTATGGATGGGATGGATGGATCTGGAGGATGGATGGGATGGATTGGATGGTATGGATGATGGCATGAGGGGATGGATGGATAAATATAGATAGATAGATAGATAGATAGATAGATAGATAGATAGATAGATAGATAGATAGATAGATAGATAGATAGATAGATAGATAGATAGATAGATAGATAGATAGATAGATAGATAGATAGATAGATAGATTATATGGCCAATTTTGATTTTTTTGTATTTGACAATGAATCTGTCTTCTGCTGAGTCTATAGCTGCGATTCTATAAGTATAAAAGCCCACTGATTACCTGCTTGGCAAGGCAGCCCGTGTCCTTGGCAAGCAGCCCGGATATGATGAGGTGCGCAGCGGCACTGCCGGCGCCTGCCAGTACTGCTTGCATCCTGTTTACGGGCATCATCGTGTGTATGAAGAGAATGCTGGCCATCATAAACGCTACATCGTCCGTCACCTGCAAACCGACGAGTTCGATTCTGTCAGACATTCATTCACGCACGTGTCTCTGCACGAAAGCCACGTAAGTGATCTGTTAAATCGATCTGATCGATTCGTGCGGCTCCGCGTGGGCGTGTGGCCGTCGGTGATTGCCACGGGCGGTCTCCCCATACATGTAGATTCTTCTACAGCGTGGTGCTGATGTGCTAAAGCGCGATGCTCACGCGTAATTAACTATCAACGCAACACCTGACGTATCAGATTGAGCCATTTTGCACCTGCTTTTACGCACGTAGATGTGAATTAGCTCACTGACACATTGACCTCGCCGTAGGCTATAGTACTTAACTCATTTTGAAGCCAAGTTAGTTGGTAGCGATCCAAACTCTGGTCGTGGAGCTAGCTGTCGGACTACAAACGACATTTACGGAACCTATAGTAATCCCTGATCCAAATAAAAATAATTCGTACAATTCTATGAACATGTTTAACGTAATTAGAACCCCCGTACGTACTGAAAATGGACGCATACCTTGTATATGGCTTCTCGACCCGCGAGTTCAATTAGGTTTCAGCTATGGTTTAATAGAGATATGACTTGACGAGATGCAGACGTCTTCGACAATCGTTTGCACGGTCGTCGTTGGACGGGTGGATTATTTGAGCACGGCTGCAGGTTTAACCGGAAGAGGTGCTTCATGCAGCGTCGGATGGTAATATTGGTAACCGTATGCAGGTTTGTCTGCGAACAGCGCACTCTACGAGCGAGAACCCTCTCTCTCGTGGATTATTCTGCAGGAAGGGGGTATTTGCGCGCCACGTTGTGACTCCATCCACAAACACCACGCGGGAACACATATAATGACTCGCACGTCTTGTCAGATGAGCATGTAATGTGATATCGCACCGTAAGCTGGTGAAATTACGATACTAACTTGTTCATCGGTACCGAGGGACCGGGGCATGGCTAACTTACACCTCCAGCCTGATATGTGATAAAGGTTCAATGCTTTTAGGCGTATTAATACCCGTGGCGTGAGTCCCTGCACTCGAGAAATATTTAATTTGCGCTCGGAATATTTTCTACTGAGTTTTCATAATATTTATATTTTATAACAGGTGTAGGTCTGGATTGTTGTGTGGCAACTGGAATCTCTAAAACATGGTAATTAAATAATTAAAATAAATACATTACATTATAGCCTAGAACTCGACTAGCGGCAGCCATTCTGTGTTACTGTAACAAATTTCTTTCTTTTTTTAGCAATCCATCCTAATCCTCTGAGAAAATTTCTCTATTAATTACGCACTGTATAGTTGCAAATCAGATATCATTTTGAAAGGTCTATTAGTTTATTGTTACATGGAGTTGTATATCACAAAATATGAAGGCAATAATTGTTGAACTATTACGATTATAGCAGAAATAGCGCATTAATTAATTGCTAATAACACCTCATCCGTTTACAGGGCACGCCGCATTTCAGCTCCTATTGTTCACAGCTGCCCAGTACTGATCTTGTTTCTGACACTGAAGCTAGTCTGAGGCTGGCGTTTTTGCGTCATTACTGGTTCATTTATGTCTCATTGCTAAAAAGGAAGGAACGGCATTTTTCTTCGTCATCCGTGCCTCAAGAGACTCCAATGTTGAACGTTGAGATTTTACACGTTGAAAAACTTCTCTGCCTGATTAGGATTTGAACTATAACAGTCTTTAATTTGGCGTGAAAACTCGACACGCTAACCAATGAGCAACGGGTACTTATTTTAGTCAGTACTGATATTACAGCATCCACCTTCGTGCATAGCCTGGCACGACGGATATAACCATCCAGAAAGATCATGACTATTTTCCGTGTAATATAACCGGATATTATAGAAGTTTAATTATAGAAAAAACGGCACAGTAATTTATACTCATTCGGATTACAGTTAAGGCGCGTGACAAACGACGTAATTTGTAATGCTTTTACCAGCCGTGCTGGTGTTGTTATGTAACCTCATCAAAACCCTAAAGCTTGCACCTCGACGGTGCAAGACGTGATTAAGATCGTCATTATCTTGTTAGACAAGTAGCCGTTCATACTAGTTACGGTAATTATACATCAGAGAGCCCTGTGAGTCATTGTCGAGCTTGTGACACGACTCCCCAGCCGCTGATGTCTCTCTCTTACTGGTCGCGTCACGTTTGTTGGCGGAGGCCGCGGCTTGTGTAATGACGTAGATATCGCATTATTTAACCTAGTATAAAACCTAGCGACACGGGTCGTTGAACTTAAGCAGCATCACGTCATATGTTATTTTAGGCGAGACAAATAGTAGTCAAGGCAACAAGCGAAGGACGCCACCCAGCCATCCCGAGAAACTGAGTCACTGGAACACGAGTAAAAGTTATCACCCACGACGGCAGAGTGACAGTTTAGTACCTATAGAAGGACATCACAGTTTGATGTCGCATGCCGACTGATGAAGATCAAACAACGAAGGCCGCCGACAAATGTGAACTATGTGAACTATGAGAACATGAATCGAACTGCCGCGATTCCCACACCAGATTCAAGAAGCATCCACAGCTTCTTACCTTCAGTCACCCATAAAAATGTTGGAGATGACGACACGTCTTGCACCACCATCGTCAACAAGGCCTTGACCACGCTCGGGCCACGCATACCTCCAGAAGCATAAATACCGACCGATTTAGACAGAAAGAGAGACACCGTCCCACGGTGCCTGACAGTTCACGACGCTATCAGCACCGTCGCTGCTCTCACCTGCTCTCGTCACCACGCTACCGTCGCCGCCGGACATCACTGACTGAGGACCTGTCTGCTGCCTGCGACCTGCAGGACTCCACGCTCGTAACACGTTTTTAGGTCGAAGATATGAATTACTTGTAACGCGTATTTGATTATTGGACTGCATAGCTACCTATGTAATTGTCACTATGATGTTCATTATTAAAGAATAGAGTAACCGTAGTAATTCTGTGGTTATAGCATTATACTGTCTGTGGCTTAAGTGCAATAGCACACGTATCTGTTGTACAACCGAACCTGCTCACGCTATACGATCACACGCGCCTGCTATACGTAGAACACCCGAGCTTTTATATACTTGCATGCGACTTAATTACGTTAATTATGTTGAGGAACTGCGGGCGCGTTTCACAAAACTCCGCTAAAGTTCTCCGCTAAGTTGTCCGTTCGCTGATTAGCGAACGGAGGCATAACGGAGAACTTAGCGAACGGACAACTCCTGTTTCACGAACGTTCCGCTATGCCTTCGCTAAATAGCGGAGGACAGCAGACAGTCAGCTGGCAGATAACTACAAACATGTGTTGCAGTTGCTAGGTTACGTTCTATCATATACATAAGCAACAGCGCTGTGACAGAGATAGCTCTAGAACTAACGCTATAGATTTAGTGTGTGTGTGTGTGTGTGTGTGTGTGTGTGTGTGGTTGTGTGTGCTGTGGTCTGTGTGTGTGTCTCTCTCTCTCTCTCTATCTCTGTGTGTGTGTGTGTGTGTGTTGTGTGTTGTGTGTGTGTGTGTGTGTTGTGTGTGTGTGTTGTTGTGTGTGGGGGTGCGTGGGGCGTGTGCGTGTGCGTGTGCATGTGTGTGTGTAGTGTGTGTGGTGTGTGTGTGTGTATGTATGTGTGTGTGTGTGGTGTGCGTGTGTTGTGTGTGTGTATGTATGCTGTGTGCGTGTGTGTGTATCGTATGTGTGTGCGTTGTGTGTGTATGTTGTGTATGCGTGTGTGACGCACATGTAATGTTCACACGCATGCACGCACACACGCATGCAGCACATGCACGCATATACGTCTGGACACAGCACACACACACACACACACACACCACACACACACACACACACGACACACACACACACACACACACACACACACACACACACACACACACACACAATCATTGCATGCATGGTAAACTAGTTACACAACCTTTGTCATACTCCTAGTGCAGAGTTTAAACAAATTCTTTTTCCCAATAACACGCACGATAAACAGCCAAGACTATTTTTATTACAAAAGCTTTTATTTCATGGTAGTTTAGTGCGAATTTTGCATTTTTATGGGTTTTATATACACCATAGAGCGCTCCGCTAAATTTAGCGGGACGTGCAGGAGCTCCCGCAAAAGTTGTCCGCTAAAGTGCGGTAAAAAGCGAGCGACTTTAGCGAACGGAGGTTCGTGAAACGCGTCCACCGCTATTTAGCGGACAACTCGGGAGTTAGCGGAGGAGATAGCGGATAATATAGCGAACGGACCTTTGTGAAACGCGCCCAGCTGCAGGGGTCGATTCGCAACAGTCGTCTATCGAAATTATAAATTTCAATGATAAAATTTATTAATCGTTGTTATTTTGAATCTATTATGTTATCCCAGTTTTAACAAATTAAAAATATTTATCCACATATAATATCCTATACAAGTTGTAGGTACTTTGACCCTACCATTTATTTTATACGGTTACTATTGGTTTTACCTACCTGATTACTTGTCAACCCTCGTACTATCACTCACTTGGGCGGCCTCGATATATATCAGCCGAGCGGCCCGAGCCCGAACACAGCATCCCCACAACCCCTGATCCCGCATTAGTCCCGCCAGCTCGCTGGTCGTCTCCACCCCAGCGTCCCTTTTCATTATATCAATGTATATATATCTCCTATATTTATATGTTCTCCTTGGCCGTCCCCGGCCTCTGGGTCTATGGGAAGGCTACCAGAGCACAGTTCTATACCTATTCCTCGTACTATATAAGAAAATTTGACACTCTAACACTATTTCGATATACCGAGCGTTTTTATGCGTTGGTAATTATAGAAATTTACAATTATTATATACGAACCCTGAAGTACGAATGACATGTGCGCAGGTCAGAGATATTTCTGTTTCGAAAATTCGTCTAGACTCGGATGATTTGTAAATGAGAGCTCCACAAGGGTCGATTTGTTAACAAATTCCGTGCTAGAACATACACACTGTGATTTACGTTGGACATAATGACCTAACATTTACAGTTCACTTTTGCGGAAACAGTTGGATGCCGACCAAGTTAACACACCACGTATGTATAGACGCAGCATGCATGCAGCTAACAGCCTCGCTAGGGTTTAACAACAAGATTCCGCGTGTGCGTATTGGCGGCATTCGTCCGTTCCTCGGTATATTTCGGTGTACTGTACGGGCGTTGGGTGGGTATATTATGAACGCGGCTTCCCAGCCGATAGACTTGCCAGTCTGGTGAGATAACGTATTTTGCGGGATGAGACCGATGGGGAGGTGGGATTAACGCATGCATGCGGACACATTATTATACCTCTAGCAGACCACTGCATTGAGGTGTTACATAACTACAGGCAGAATTACGTATTTAAACGGGGTATACTGTATACGCCTGTGTGTATGTGTGTGTGTGTGTGTGTGTGTGTGTGTGTGTGTGTGTGTGTGTGTTTGTGTGTGTGTGTGCGCGCGCGTGCATGCATGCATGTGCGTGCTTGCGTGTTTGCATGTGCGGTGCGTAAGCGTAAAAATACCCGGCCGCATACGCATTCCAATTCAGAGGGATATACTTTGAATTTAATAACTATATTGCCATATTATTAGTTTAGTTTTATAAACAATAGAAGTGAGGTGTTATATCAGTTATGAGTTTCTGTGTGTATTTACGGTAGGCACGAGGCTGGAAACGCGGCTATCCGATCATAGGATTGAGGTAAATTATTCAAAGATACGAAAATTCAATAATAGAGTTTATAAAAGCGTTATAACCGAGGAGCATTAACGTACGCGGGGCGTTGATAGCAGCGCAGTGCGCGTGTTGTCGACGCTCCGCGCTTCATATTCAGCCAGTGCTTATGCGCACGCGCTCCTCTCTCATGATCCTGGTCTGTAATATAGCATGAATACGCGTATAGCGGTGTGAACCCGTAGTAACAGTTTCGCTGCGGTGACTACAGCGCCTGCACTACGTCACCCGGCCAGCGACTCAATGTACTTCAATGTAGGGGTTTAGCAGTGGAGACGGGAGGACTCACGGCGAGTGTGTAGAAGTTGCCAGCATTAGAGCGGGGCGGAGCATGAACACTTTCTTCAAGCTTCGGTCCTCTCTAGTCATGAGTGTGTGAAAGCTTTGCGAGCTACGTGCCTAAATGTAACACGACGCTATCGACGCATCTTGACGTTTTGCCGCAAAACGGTGCTGTTCACTTCATTCATCTCTCTTCCCTCGACTGCTATCCGACGCGTGTGAGAGAGAAAGAGATGCGAGTAAGCGAGTGAGACCACAGAATTGTCACGAGGCAGGCCATAATAACGGGAACAAATGCTTCCCGTTACAGACGCAAAAGGTGCGGAGCGTGCGGCGTATATAGTATCCGCTCTCTAGCATTGACGACGGGGTGCAGATAGTGGAATCGATGCAGCTCTGCCCTGACTACACGTGTAATAGGGGGGTGCTACAAGAAAACCTCACTCGATGCACGGATCCCCCTTCATCGGTGAAAGTGCCGTGCACTATGTGCGTAGTATACAAGTACGCGCGCGCGTGTAGTGTGTTTTCTCGTCTTCTAATTACCGCCCGTGACAGCCGTCCCAACACTTAATCTAAAAGTAATTAACTGCATCAGAATGATGAGCATACTCTAATTATGCGCGACGGTTCGGCATTTTTTTGTCTAGATCAAGCATTAGTCCGTTTTAGCGCAGTTTTTTAATACTCGTGACAACTAGTTTGATCATTGTTACGCGTTGCTCGACGAAGCATTCAATATGCTGATTATATACTCTGCTAATTAAAGCTGCCATCATTACATTTTGAGCGCAGTGTGTTTACTAACACAGGTGCTATTTAAGCAATGCACTGGAACGTGTTTATTGTGCAATGTAACAAAGATAACATACCTGTTTGATATATTTACAACGTTTGTGGTAATTATAGTAACGGGGGAAGATGACTATACGAGTGTGCACGCGTAAATACAAAAATAGCCCACGGCGTTTATATAGCATTTCGCAATCTATATTGCTATTTGATTCGCTGCTTAAACAGCAGAATTGCGGTGCTATCCGTTCTTAATTCATGTGGCGCACGACAATTATACACGAGGCATGAAATGCCGGGAAGTTGATTATCTGACGATATTATCAAGTAAATTACGAGACGTAAAGATCAGAAAATTCCATGAATATCGGCTTATTGCTCCTTAACAATTCTATGTTCCGCTCGAACAGGCACGGAGCGATCGCTATATGAGCCACACCTCCAGCCGTCACCTCGCTCTTGTTCAATATACTGATAATATGCTAAAGTAATTGAGATTGCCACGCTTCTTAGCTTCTTAGCTTCCCTTCGGTCGTGTTCGGCCTTCGGCCGTGTTTAACTTAGTGATATATGTCAAACTAACTGCTATTTCCTAACGTCGTGGCTTATTAGAGGCGGATAGACCTTCGCAACTGGAACAAATTGTCGCGTCCTAAGCCGGTAATACACGCGTGTGGATTTTTCTCAGATATCAGGCGCGATCTCATAGCGCGAGGTTATGTACGCACGCATTATACACGCGCACCTGAAGGGATCGAGATCGAGTAAAGCTCGGCGTTATCGGGGGCTCGCGAGAGAATTTCTTGCCAAGGCTCGACGATGTATCACTGGTTGTGCATGACAAGCACGCCTACGTCATCGCCCAAACCGCCAAACTGCACGGCGTGTCTCGGGGTGATGCTAACACTTCTTAATGCGAATGTTCGCGGAAACCGAGCGGCCTACCGTTACAAACAACGTCCCGGGTAAAAATAAAATCTACATTACCCCCACACAGAGCTGTTCAACTAAAAATCTACAATTGTATGAATAATTAATAATGCGGAAAAAATTATCGGCTTCTCGACCCCAGGTGTAAATAGGGTTGGTGTCTCTCGTTCACCAGTACGTTACCAGCTGTGGTAAGTAGAGAAGGTTGGGTGTAATTCCCGCTCACCTGTGGGTGGCGGTAAGTAACGAAGGTTGGGTGTAATTCCCGCTCACCTGTGGGTCGCGGTAAGTAACGAAGGTTGGGTGTAATTCCCGCTCACCTGTGGGTCGCGGTAAGTAACGAAGGTTGGGTGTAATTCCCGCTCACCTGTGGGTCGCGGTAAGTAACGAAGGTTGGGTGTAATTCCCGCTCACCTGTGGGTGGCGGTAAGTAACGAAGGTTGGGTGTAATTCCCGCTCACCTGTGCATCACGGTAAGTAACGAAGGTTGGATGTAATTCCCGCTCACCTGTGGGTCACGGTAAGTAACGAAGGTTGGATGTAATTCTCGCTCACCTGTGGGTCGGGTACAGTAACGAACGGTGGGTGTAATTCCCGGCTCACCTGTGGGTGCGCGTAAGTAACGAAGTTGGGTGTAATTCCGCCACTCACCTGTGGGTCCGGGTAAGTAACGAAGGTTGGATGTAATTCCCACTCACCTGTGGGTGGCGGTAAGTAACGAAGGTTGGATGTAATTCCCACTCACCTGTGGGTGGCGGTAAGTAACGAAGGTTGGATGTAATTCCCGCTCACGGCTGTGGTCGCCGTACAGTAAACGAAGGTTTGGGTGTAAATTCTCCGCTCACCTGTGGGTCGGCGGTAAGTTTTTTTTAAAGTTTAGTAACGAATGGTTGGGTGTAATTCCCGCTCACGCTGTGGGTCGGCGTAAGTAACGAAGGTGGTGTAATTCCCGCTCACCTGTGGGTCGGCGGTAAGTAACGAGGTTGGGTGTATTCCCGCTCAGCGAGGCTGTGGGTCGGGTAAGTAAACGAAGGTTTGGTGTAATTTCCCCGCTCCACCTGTGGTCGCGGTAAGTAAGACGAAGGTGGGTGGTAATTCGCGGGCGCACTGTGGGTCGCGTAAAGTAGAAGGTTGGGTGTAATTCGCGCTCACCTGTGGGTCGCGCGGTAAGTAACGAAGGTTGGGTGTAATTCCCGCTCACCTGTTGGTGCGGTAAGTAACGAAGGTTGGATGTAATTCCGGCTTCAGCTCTGTGGGTGGCGTAAGTAAGCGAAGGTTGGGTGTAATTCGCCCGCTTTTCACCTGTGGGTCGCGTAAGTAACGAAGGTTTGGGTGTAAATTCCCGACTCACCTGTGGGTGGCTGGTCACGACCATCGGTACGAATACGACAGCGAGGAGACACATCCACGTGAGGACGGCCATGCACAGTGCGAAGCGGCGGAAGAGCGCCTCCACACTGACGCAGACGGAGAGCAATAAGGTGAGGCCCGTTGTAATGCTCAGCGTGATCAGCTGCGGTAGAATGTCCATGTGGTCCTGTACATGACATTTAACATACATAAATATACATACATACGTACATACAGGTGAAAGAGCGCCATCCACGTGTGTGTGTGTGTGTGTGTGTGTGTGTGTGCGTGCGTGCGTGCGTGCGTGCGTGCGTGTGCGTGTGCGTGTGCGTGCGTGCGTGTGCGGTGCGCGTGCGCGTGTGCGTGTGTGTGTTGTGTGTGTGTGTGTGTGTGTTGTGTGCGCTGCATAGCTTGTCGTGGCGTGTGTGTGTGTGTGTGTGTGTGGCTGTGTGTGTGCGCGCGGTGCTTTGTGTTGCGTGTGTGTGTGTGTGATTGTGTGTGTGTGTGTGTGTTGCGTGCGTGCTTAGTGTGCGTATACATTCGTAAAAATATCATATCGTAATACGTATGGGCATGGTGGTATATGCGGCGTGCGCTGCCGTGCGGTGCGTGCGTGCGTGTGTGCATGCGCGCGTGTGTGTGCGTGCGGGCGCACGCGGCATGCATAGTTTTGTGCGTCATGAACTATTTATATATCAAGATATCAAAGATAATACTGATAAAGATTTATATACTAATAAATTCAAGTTGGTTGCTGAATGCACGAATATATCGCAAGAATTTTGACAGCGCTAGACGTATAAGCTTACATCGCTAAGCCTAAATATCTTTTACAGAGCAATCTTTCTCATCAACGTGGTAGAAGAGTACACGCCCAATCACGTGCATGCGATAAGTTACCGTCTATATTAATCCCTTATTTGCTCAGCTGTGCTAACGTGTTAAGTCGTACGTGGTTCGCGCATTAGATAGATAGCTCTTGATATAATTTTAATTATGCGATAGCGCTGTGTCACGGCGTTAGATGTTCAAAAATAACTAGCTTTGTCGATTGTCAGCTGGTATCAGTGTGGTCAGACGCAGACAAAAGAACGCCAGCAGCCACGACTAACCGCGACCAAGTAACATGGTCATTGCTTAACTGATACTAACCAGTGGGCCTAAAGTGTGTCCACAGACAACAGTGACCACCGTTAATAGTGACCCCAGCTAACAGTGACCACAGCTAACAGTGACCACAGCTAACAGTGACCACGCGGAACAAGTGACCACAGACTAACAAGTGACCACGCGCCTAGTAGTAATCACAGCTAATAGTGACACCACTAACAGTGACCACAGCGAACAGTGACTTACGCGCTAACAGTGACTAATTACCAACACGCAACAGTGACCACCGCTAGCACGTGACCACCGCTGAATAGCTGACCACCACTAACAGTACCACCACTAACAGCGACCCACGCTAACAGTGACCACAGCTAACAGTGACCACAGCTAACAGTGACCACCGCTAACAGTGACCACCGCTAACAGTGACTACCACCGCTAACAGTGACCACAGCTAACAGTAACCACATGCAGCTAATAGTGACCACAGCTACAGTGACCACAGCTAACAGTGACCACAGCTAACAGTGACCACCGCTAACAGTGACCACAGCTAACAGTGACCACAGCTAACAGTGACCACAGCTAACAGTGCGACCTAACATGACCACAGCTTACAGCTGACGAGGACCGACAAGAGCTGACCACCCCCTTAACAGCTGACTTCCACCGCTGCAATAACCACCGCTCAAACGAGTGACTAACTCACAGCTACAGTGACCACAGCTAACAGTGACCACCACTAACAGTGACCACGGATAACAGTGACCACAGCTAACAGTGACCACAGCTAACAGTGACTACCACCACTAATTACCAGCACGGCCGTGTACGTACCCCATTATCAAAGGCGACGATGAAGATAATGAACGTAACTCCGTAGATAGTGACGAGGATCAGAAGTGCCATGAACAACGAGTGCTTCAGGCGCAAGCAGTAGCGTGTGTAGAGTTCCTCTAGATCCATCTCTTTGAATCGTTGCTGTAATAAAAATACAACACGCTGTATCCATGACGATGGCAGATGTGCAAATATGTGATCGTTTGCGTACCGTAAGCTCTATGTGTGAGGCATAATTACCACTGCTGCGCTTTCAATTTGAATACAGCATATATTATTTATTACATATTAATCAGCAGCGTAGTAGTAGCAGCGGCAGCGGCAGCAGAAGCAGCAGCAACAACATCAGTAGCAGTAGCAGTAGCAATAGCAGTGGTAGCAGTAGCAGCAGCAGTGGCAGTGGCAGCGGCAGCGGCAGCAGAAGCAGCAGCAACAACATCAGTAGCAGTAGCAGTAGCAATAGCAGTGGTAGCAGTAGCAGCAGCAGTGGCAGTGGCAGCGGCAGCGGCAGCAGAAGCAGCAGCAACAACATCAGTAGCAGTAGCAGTAGCAATAGCAGTGGTAGCAGTAGCAGCAGCAGTGGCAGTGGCAGCGGCAGCGGCAGCAGAAGCAGCAGCAACAACATCAGTAGCAGTAGCAGTAGCAATAGCAGTGGTAGCAGTAGCAGCAGCAGTGGCAGTGGCAGCGGCAGCGGCAGCGGCGGCAGAAGCAGCAACAGTAGCAACAGCAGCAGCAGCAGCAACAGCCGCAGCAACAGCAACAGCAGCAGCAGCAGCAGCAGCAGCAGCAGC